CACTTAGTTTTAGTGGAATTGCAGGAACCACAGACGCCTGATTGAAAATTGAAAAGGTTCAAATTGTCAGTGTCCCCGAGACAATTAAACTACTATAAAGTGCTATTGCTGTAAATATTTTATTTCCCTTTTGTATTTTTAGTTGTTCCTACACGAACCTTATGAAACAATAAAAATAAGATCTGGTGGAATATTACTTTCTCCAGGAACTAATAATCTTATTTCTTTACGGCCTGTAGAAGTAAGTATTATGTTGTTTCTCTTTTATCTGGTGCCTATGATAAGTATTTCAGTGTTCTTTTGTTCTAGCTAATCATCGAGAAAATCACACGAGTTATTGAAACCATCCACGATACTTTATGAGAAAAATATACATATTTTTTTAAAGCGATTTGACACTTTTTCCATGTCCTCAAGACTTCAAGATAAGTGCATGGGGTGTATGGACTAGTTTCTTATTTACATAGAGTTTCGGATGCACATAAAGAGAATTAGCCAGAGAGATTTGAAAACATGATCTGTCAACAGAGAGAACCTCAGGTATAATAAATAGGTATCATATTATGTGATTGAAATGTAGAGATTTCTATTTTCTCATTAGTACAAATTATTACCATACCCTTACAAGTCTCACGGTAAAGATCACTGCCTAGAAGAGAATAATGAGAGATTTGAACATATCAAGAAGTTATACGGTTATAAAGAATATAGCAGAGATTCTTGTCTGAGAGACTGTACGGCCAACGCAACTGTTCATGAATGTGGCTGTAAGACGTTACTAGAGACAGGTAGGTTGATGTGAAAATGATGTTTTTAAAAAAAATACATGTATCACCTACATGTAGTTTATAAAAGATGACCTATGTTCGGTATCATTCATATAGGATGGTCTCTGTTCGGTATCATTTATAATGGATAACCTTTGTTCGGTATCATTTGTAAAGGGTGGCATCTCTTCGGTATCATTTATAAAGGATGGCCTCTGTTCGGTATCATTTATAAAGGGTGGCCCCTGTTCCGTATCATTTATAAAGGGTGGCATCTGTTCGGTATCATTTACATAGGATGGCCTCTGTTCGGTATCATTTATAAAGGATGACCTTTGTTCAGAATTATTGATTTTAGAAAATGTTCAGTATTATTTATAAAGGATGACAGATAATGAGAGTCGATCCTTTTTACCATAAAAGATTTCCTTGTGTTTTTTTTTGTTATATGTGCTCTCCGCTTCTAAATGTCATTAAGATCTTATTAAAGTACTATCGACCTAAAATTTTCTATCAATCTAGGTAAAGTTTTTGAAGATATCCATCGATACTGTACAATGTATGAAGTAAACAACTGCTACTTAAAAGAAATAAGTGAGTACTAAGCATACATACGACGTTGATTATATTGATAAACTTACGAAGTTAATAATTTTCTTTTGGCCGAAAAACCTTGTCATTGTTTTTTTGTAGTGTTTAGTTATTAAAGTGACAAATTTTATATCCATCCATCTATCCATGCTCAGCCGTTTTACCTGTTTCAGTTAAAAATGTGGTAAGAGCTGAAAAGAAGGAATTGTGTGATTGCCCGTGGCCATGTCGCCAAATTACATATGAAACAAAGTTATCGAATACCTTGTTTCCTTCTGTAACCGGAGTTAACTATATCAATAAGTTATACAATACATCTCTGACTGTTGAAAGTGCACGGTAAGATTAACTTATCTAGATATTTTATTAATGGCTTAAAAAATAAGCGCTTTCAAATTTATCTAACTTGGTAGCTGGATTCGGGATTCTGTATATATGATCTATAATTGAAGACCATGATGGACTATGAACACTTTCCATTTCTTAAAGTAGTATTACGTTAGTGTTTGTTTGTTGAATAGGCTTCTTGACTCTTCGTCTACAGATCAATTGATTTTCATGAAACTTGTATTGTACATTATATAGTTCATCGTGATATAAAATTAAAACGCTGAATTATACTTATCTGGAGTTCCCCATACTGTCAGAAATTACTGGATGAAGCATTATCGGCTGATAAGGAAAATCACACAGATTCAATATACACCTGAGATTTAGATTAGTGGAGGTCTGACGTCTGAGTTGAAACATTATCAGGGAATGCAAACATGACGATACAGATAAAGAACAGAACAGCTTCTTCTTTAAGTGAATCAATAGTATATCAGTG